CAAAATCTTTAATGACTTGATAATATTAAAACAAAGATTGTGTCTTTTTACTATGTTAAATTGTTAACTTTTTGGGAATTTGGACAATTGCTTATTATTATTACTAATATTCCCGACTTTATTCATTTAAAACCCCAAAATTTTTATATAACAACAAATAATCCTAAAACTGTAGCACAAATAATAGATATTTAATTTAATAATATATATCTTTATAACTCTTAGTATGAGTATGAATTATGTTTATACTGTTATGCAAATTGTCTAATAATTATATAATTAAAAGTTATACATTAATATATATTAATAAAATGAATCTGTTTTTATATTAAAATATTACAAAAATTAACAATTTAAATTAATAATAATGTTTAATGGTATATTAATTATAAATATTAATAAATAACCACCCAATGTAAATTGTGTATTTTTTATTTTTATGTTCATTTTTTTATAATATCAAAATTAATTATTTATTAACAATATTATTATAATAATCAATTTGTGTGTCTTATATACATTTTTAAATATATAAATAAAATTAATATAAATTATAGTTAATTATATTTAATTGTATTTGACACAAATATAATTACAATCAATAATGAACTACAATGGTTATTGTTTTTGAAAACAGAATTAAAAAATTAAAATTTTAGTAAAATTGATTAAAAAATTTAATTCAAAAAAAAATAATTATCAATTGAGTTTTTGTGTTACTTCCAAAATACTAAAGATAAATCAAGCGAAATATAAATAACAAAATACGCACGATTTTCAATTGGTAAATTAAACCAAATAAAACCACAACTATTAATTATGCATGGCTCGGTATTTTTTGCTTTTTTGCACTGAAAATTATTTTGGCAATTTTTATAAAATTATTTAAAAACTGCCATCGTACTTACTTTTTTTATAGTATATTGAATAGTATATTTACCATTAAAATTTATTAATTGTATATAATAAAAATTTTAAAATTATTTGGTTGTTTATATAGTTTGTTTAATAATATGATTATAATAAGTTTTAATTCCAAAATAATAGTTATTTATATGATATAATAATAGAAATCGATTAATAAAAAATATAGTATATATATAATATATTTAATTGTTTTATTTATTATACAAGAATTATAAATTTACTAACTATTTAACTTATACAAATTATTGTAAAAAAACTTTTGTATTATTAACATAAATAATATTAATAATATAAAATAGTACATTATATTGGATAAATAACATATCAAAAACACAAATTTAAATAAATACCAATTTTATATTAATGATTTATTATTACAGTTAGTTTCATTTTGTTTTAACTTTGTTTCAAAACAAATAGAAAACGTTTCAAAATAAATCAAAAATGCATGTTTTTTCAACTCTGTTTCAAAACAAAATAATTTTGTTTCAAAATAAATATAATTGTACCAAATGAAATCAAAAGTGTTTCAAAATAATACAAAAATGTAGCAAAATAACATAAATTTGTTTCATAAAGCTGTAATTTTGTTTCAAAATAATATTGAAAACAAATTTATTAACATTTTCCATTAGAGGTCTTCTCGATTAATCACTTTTGTCGATACTTGACCAAGAAAATGGCTAACACATCTTCTTACCTCACTATTTTCGATATCTTCAAAGCATCTGGCCATATTCGTTAACATTTGAAGTAAATTTTCATTTGGTAATT